TGTTCCTTCAGTAGGCATTTTGTTAATATCTACTGTGCACCAGAGATGATAGATGCTTTGGATCAAAAACCTTAACCAACCAAACAGTGTTTGCAAATGTGTGAAAGCAGTGCAGGATTAGTGTGGTGCATTTAATCCGACTCTCTCTCCATTCCAATGAATGACCTTGAGCAAATCACTTCCCATTGGAGGACTATCTGTCCGAAAGTGAGAGACAACTTCCAGCTCTGATGACATGTAAGGAAATAACATCTGAGGGAGGCTGCATGAATTACAGCAAGCCATTTCAGAATTCATAATGCACACTTCCTAAAAACTAAACTATCACAAAAAGTATATTACCAAGGTGATGATTATCTGTTTAATTCCTTGTTCCTGCAGTAAACATTTCCACAGTGCTGGTTACATGGAAATGGTGCTGTATATTTAAAATGAGAGAAGACATGCTCTGTTCCTTTAAAGAACTTAAATCTAAGTGGTCATTTTGTGAGACTGTATGGATGTAGTTTCTGACGTCAGCAGGAGACACAATCTCACTAGCAAATATTGTGTTCCATGGGCTTTTATATTCTTTCTGCTCCTCCTTCCACAATGCTCCCTGAGCCTTGGGTGGAGAAGTTGAGAGTGGGACCTAGAAGGCCTCCACCCTAGACAAAGAATACAAATAACCATGGAATGTTTGTTGAAAGCAGGACAGTCTTCCTGGGGAAGGAAGAACACAGTATTGGTCACCCAATACCAAATGCTCAACCATGAAAAACACACACACACACACAGAGAGAGAGAGAGAGAGAGAGAGAGAGAGAGAGAGAGAGAGAGGAGACAGAGACAGTGACAGAGAGACAGAGATAAACTCAGAAGGTTTCACTTACTAGTTAGCTTCTGCTTACATATTTTATATATATGCATGCACATCTCCGTATGTAACAACATTTAATGGAAAAAGAGGCCATGGACTTGAAAAAGATCAAGAAAGGTATATGTAGGAAAACTTGGAGGGAGGAAAGGGAAAATGATGTAACTATATTTTCATCTCAGAAATGAAGGAAAAAAACCTTACAGTTTGGACATATGGTAAGAAAACATGACTTTGAGCATGAAATACTGTTCATAGTAAATATTGACTGGGTAACATCATACTTGAGAAGCAGCAGTGAATTAAGTAGGTGATAGTTTTTCTTCTCATGGTACTTGCTTTGTGAAGATAAAACAATAAGGAATAAACATAAAGGCAAAGGAAAACAATGTCTATGACACAAGGTGAAAACAACCCCCTATAGGATAAAATGTAAAACAGGTTAAAGAGAAATGGGAGCCTGTGGGAACTAGGGCAGGGAGGCATGTACCACAATATTAAGAGTGGGTCTCCATGGGAAAGCGATATTTACTCGAAGGCACAAGGAAAGTAGGGGAACTTACTGGCAACAGGGTGTGTTGGGAAGAATTCCATGCAGACCACGTGCAGTGAGACAGGAACCCTGCACACCCTGGGGTGAGGAGTGAATGGAGTGCAGCTGGAAAGGGAGTCAGGCAGTGAGGGTAGGGAGGGGCAGCTCAGGCTGGACTTACAGGGATGGAAGGGATGTAGTATTGAATGACAATGAGTGATGTGGGAGGACTTCTCAAAGGGCTTGGAGCAGAAGAGGCTCTTTCTGACTTCCTCTTGATTAGAGAATAGGTTGTGGAGGCTGTCAAAGGGCAGGCAAGTGTGAGCAATTTGGAGGATAGTGTGGAAACTCAGGCTAGAGGGACTGGTGTTTGGATTATGCAGGGAGCACTGAGGGGATAACTGATGAATTTAGAAAGTGAAGCCTGTATGGTTTGTTGGACACTTGGATGAAAGGTATAAGGCAAAGGCCATGACGGAATGGAGAAAAGGCAGTTGGGTGAGAGGTCAGAATGCTCTAGGTGGGGAACTGGTCTGTTTATAGGGTATGATGATGAAAGTAAAGACATGGGATGTTTGGGGAACTGCAGACCCTCTTCATGCAAAGAAAAGGGAACTGCAGATTTGTCTAGAGAGGTTGGAACTGGTTATATCCATGCCAGGAGAGTTTGCTATTTAGAGTTTGCTATTTTTGAGAACACATACTTCTGTTAAATCTATTTAGCTAAATGAATTTCCAAAGTCAACTTCATAAAACTATGCCAACAAACACAGGGACCAACAACTTGGAGTGTAGTAAAACACCAGGGATTATGTGGCCAAAGTCCTATAAGAAGCATAGCTATTTGATAGCCTTTGTCCCCTTATACAATCTTGGATGTACTTGGTAGAAGCAGATTTCAAGGAGAGGACTGTTGAATCCAATTGGGCAGATGTGGCAATGTAGCTTAGTGTTGACTATCATGCCTACTCCATTTCATTAATATGTGATTGAGAAAACCAGATAATTTTTCAGAAAAGAAACATGGAATACATCTGATTTTGCAATTGTTAACAAAATAAGAATCTCCCTTGGTAATTTTTCATGAAGGCAATACCACTGCATAAATATTAATCTTTCACCTAGTCCTGAGCTTTAGAATATATGTATACCTATGGACTAGGCAGATAGTTTAATCACAAAATACCTGGCATGGCATGCGAGTTTGCATCTAACACACAACAACAACCAGCTGTGGTGGTGCATATTTGTAACCACAGTGCTGAGAAGGCAGAGACAGAGAGATCCGTCAAGCTCACTGATGCTTAGTTGAAATGATGAGTTCCAAGTGCACTGAGAATGTCTGTCTCAAAAAATAAGGTGGAGATTACTTGAGGAAAACACATGACAACAACACACATGCATAAGTATCGATAAGACACACACATGTACCTGCCAACAATGCATACATCTCCGACTACAATTGTATAAACTACACAAAGAAATACAACACCCACACCCACACCCACACACACACACACATGAAATTCTAGAATCAGTATTTTATTCTGCATATATTCCTCTAGACTGAAGGACTAGATTCATATAGACAGTTTTTTTTTATTTTTAAAAGTATCTTGGTACCTTTGTAATGCAATTTTTATTTCCAAGCATATTTACCTTATGGCTAGTTTATCTTACCCGTGTCTTCTGTAGTTTAAACTTGTTTTCTCTCATCTACTTTCTTCATTAATGGAGAGGGGAGGCTAATGTCTGACTAATTGAGAAGGCCAGAATGGCACTTTGTGGTGAGGCCTTGCACGGGTAAAGAAAATTGTAGAATCGAAACCGGTAATTGAACAAGACAGAGGAGAAGAAGCTACATTTGTTTTATTTATCTAAATTGTGGCCTTATTTCTTCACTTTCCTCTGCATTTTACGACCCAAGCATAGAGACAAAGGAGAATGGTGTGGTTATTTTACAAGCGCTTGCTGAAATCTGAGCTTCACTTGTTTTGGCTGTTAATAAATGAATTGTATGTTGTATGCATTCTCATATTGAGGGGCAAATAGATTATAAAAGATGATTAATGGGTGTGGAGATTAAAGAGGAATGCTATCTTACAGGTAGTCTTCACGGGGTACGTACTTAGATAACTGCCGTTAAGAATTATGTCTTTATGAAGTGAAGATACTGTTTGGAACTGATTTTAGGGTCTATCTTTATTTCTTTGAAGATGTCAGGAGGACTTGATAAGAGATTCTGAGATGAATGATAGTTTGCTAGTAACCTATTATGCCTCCCCCGTTGCGGCTGTTTGTTTCTCTATGAATTGACACACATAAAGGATAAGAAATGCTGAATCTGCATTGCTTCCTGTAATCATTCCAGCGGTAAGAGCGCATCCACTGGGTGGATAAGAAGGATGCTGGCCTGACTCATGTCCATCACTTTTGCCCTTTAGGGAGAATGAAGGGTAGAAAATAAACAGAACTGCCCAATGGAATATATGTGCTTATTTTCAAGGCTGTATGGCTGACCGTGGGTCTTCCCTTACTACTCTCAGAATGTTGCAGAGTGCTTGAGATCTGGGTGACCACTTGCAAAGGAGGTGTGAGAATCCCTGCTGCTCCAGATCATATGACTGAAGCACATAAACTTACAGATCTCAGGTGGAGAACTGAAATTGACTGTGTAGATCAGAATCATTGCCCAGTGGCATAGAGGACTTTTAATAGTGGAGGTATAAACGTACCTTGGGTCACTATAATAAATGCTGCCTACAACTTAATTATTTGACTTTAAGTCCCGAGAGCCGCAGACTGTCACTGAGCTGACACCACAGGTGACAATGCAAACCTGACGTCTGTGTTTTTAATATGTTAATGATGCAAAACTGTACTTAGAAATATTTATGCCATATTTGGAAGTAGGTTTAGGAGAGCAGAATTTTTTTTTTTTTTGGAGGCGCTTGCGTCGTTACTTCTGACCAGAATAACTTCAGTGTTCAATTTACTTCTATTAACGATCACAGAGAAAGATGCATTTTATAATATAATTTGAGAGAACACACAACTTCTAAAACCCCAAGGGAATATTTCAGTATAGCAGAATAAATAAACCGCAGTGCTTGGGAGTCACCATGGTCTGTTCGTCTTTCCCATTCTGTCCCTAATTAGGCACTGGGAAAAGTGACTTTTTCTCACCCACTGTGACAGTTACGAGATTCTTTTGCTCAAATCCCTCACAAGAAGAGCTCAGAATTCGTGTTCCTTAGACAGTTGCCAATTCCCCAGCAGAAGATTAAATGCCCCTATCATATGTGTCATATCCTGCAGCTAACCAAAAAGAGAGTCAGTGTAGCATGGCCCCTTTCCGGCGGCTGCCGCAGTGGGAACATCGCCCCAGCCTAGGGCCTTTCAGTTTCATGTAGCGTACTAGCCAAAATATTCGTCAAAAATGAACAAGACTATCATCACAGAGCTATCATTGCATTACGTCTTGGGATATTTAAGTTTATGAACTCCTTTTTGTGTGGCTCTAAACTTCTAAAGCAAGGGGCAGAGGCCTTTGGCTCCTGGTTGAATCCACTTGTTCCTATCACAGAAGACAATTAAAGGCTCACTGCTTACCTGTAAAGTTGATTTTCAGCAAATAATCCTTGTACAATTTCTTTCCATCCAGGATCTTCATTGCATCACAGAGCTTGGTGGTATTGGGGCAGAGGGTACGCTGCATTTTATGCAGCGCATGGGCCATGGCATACACTGCATTCACTACAAACATGATCTTGGATTCTTGCTCATAGTTGCTGCTGTCAATGGCCAGGTGCTTGTCACAAACCCGTCTGTGGTTTTTCTTGTTCTGCAGGCTGCACTGGAACTTCTGCTCCCAGAAGTCTCGGAACCATGGGTTACGGTGGTTGTTATAGGGGTTGAGGCTCTGGAAGTAGCGATCAAACTGGCGAACAGGGTGGGATGCCAGCTCCAGGGTGATGGCGCCATAGGCGACGTGCTCACTGCCCTTGATGATGCTCTCCTGTGCACCCCAGCCGTCGCTGGCCACCCAGGTGAAGGAGGCATTCACGCGGCTGGCTGCAGCGATCAGCTCTCGGGAGTCGTCACTGCGCATGAACAAGACCACCACACGTGCATTGGGTTTCTGCAGGAGCTCACGGATCACACTGTCGTAGGACTTGCGGATGTTGGAGCGGCCTACCTTTTCAGCAGTGGCTATGCAGATGTTGCGCAGCCTTGCTTCCTGCTCGAAGGCTTCAATCCCTGTCTCCCCATAGTCACCCTCAGAGGCAACAGTGGAAACATAGGTCCAGTTGAAGAAGCGCAAGATCTCGGCCATGGCTTTGGCCTGGTAGAAGTCAGGGGGCACGGTCCTGGCAAAGTAATCATAGCGCGACTTGTCACTGAGTTTGGCGCTGGTGGAGGCATAGCTAATCTGAGGGATCTGGAAAAGCCGCAGCAGGTTTGCCACCTGAGCAGGGAGAAAAGAGAGGCACCTTTTAAAAACCCAGAAGCAAATGACTATGTGTGAGAAATCATTACACCCCTCACATCTGTTACCAAGTTTCTTTTCATGTGGAGGTCACTTCTTGAGACCTTTACCAGATACTTCTCTGGGTGCTGTGTTTAGATATTAGGGAGCAGATCTAAAGTAGGCAGTGTTTGTTTTGGAGAAGAGCATGATGAAAAATAGGAGGCCACCGTGGCTAGACCTTCTTAAGTTCTGAGCTAGACTCTAGACTAATGAAATCTGCTCAGAGGCTCTGAACGTGGTCATTTTAAGTTCCTGGGGTCCTGCTATAGCTCAGCAGACAATGAACTACAGTGAAGTGGCCAAATTCGGGTTTTCAGACAACTTGGCTATGGTTGTATAGAAAGAGCCCGGGTGTTTAATTCGCACTTCCCCCTCTTTCGCTAAAAATGGCAGTCTCTGAAAGAGTTTAATTTGGGAACTGAGTGCCACATGGACAATCCAAATTAGACATTTATTATCTAGGTTAAGCAAAAGAAAAAAAATTCTACTTAAATTCTATTCAGATCATTCAAAATTTTAGGTATAGAGTTTGACAAACTTCTGAAACTACAGTAACTTTTTGTTTGCCTTGTTTTTTCTTAAAATTTATGAAAGGAAAGCATGTAGATATGCTCTTTTTATGGTATTTTTGATTAAAATTCAGATGAAGAAGTATTGATGACATTGTTAAGAATGATTGAAAAGTCTGACATATTTCGAGCCTATGCTGAGTAAAAAATTTGAATTTTTTATAAGTTAATTATCAACATTCCACTATTTTAATTTATCATAGGACAAAAGAGGAAGTGGTCCTAGTTTATCAAGAAGTATTGCATGAAATATTTGGAAAATATATATAGTTACACATATCAAGATAAGAAAGAAATGTGCTTTTAGCTGGGTGATTGTGGTTCATGCCTTCATTGCAGCACTTGGGAGGTAGGGGTAGGCAGATGTCTCAGTTCGTGGCCAGCCTGGTGTACAGAGTGAGTTCCAGAACAGCCAGTGCCACATACAGAGAAACCCTGTCTTGAGAATAAATAAATAAATAAACACATAAACAAAATTTGTTTTTATTCTTCCTAGCTTTGAAAAGTACTGTCTTTACTGACTTTAAGTTACATAGTCCTCTGTGTCAACTTTACTAAAACAAGTTGAATATTTCCAAAGATTATATGTTGGAGTACGCCTAGATACTTTGAAGTTTTTTTTTCTTGCAATTGAGGTTTTGTGTTTACATATGGCATGCAGGAAGATCATCTTGAAATGAACAGTTCTGAGCACAACATAAGCAACATGAAGCAATGGACTCCTGGATCCTGATTAATTCTTATTTCACGTAGCAAAGGAAACCAACAACCATGTTCATGCACAGCTACACATTATGCTATTGGAGAACTGGCCTGCTATCAAAATTAACCCTGATATAGTCAGGGCTATCAAAAATATCAGCATAGTTTCCAGTTCCAGTAACTCTCACTTAACTCCTATAAGACAGCTGAAAAAAATCTGAGATGCAACACACCAAATAATGAAAAATGAGAACCTTGAGAGGAGGCAAATGGTTGGATAAGTAAGTAGGATGCAGTTGTTCTCTGTTAAGGACTGGAAACTTCTGCACAGAATGGCTTGCATACACTGGTTGATCAGAGCACAGGGATGCTTTTTGTTTACTCAGGATAAGTGAATGGGCAGGTAGCCCTGAATTAATACTGCCATTACTCCTAGTACCTGCCTTCCACTGAACTTACGTGGTACTAGTACAGTTGTGGTGATGTAATTCTTCTCTGTACAGAGACCTGATTGTGAAGTTTCTGGGCAGCACCAGAAAGGCCATAGTTGCTGAGTTAAGATGCAAGGATGGAACTCTCCTAAGTATAATGTCAACTGTATTGCCTATACTGAACAGCATGGAGCCATCGTATAAAGTAATGCCGTCCTGAGTTACATTATAAACACATTCATAACAAAATAATGCTAGCGTAAAGTACTAAAATACTCTTACCACAGTTAATTGTTCTTCTAAACCTAGTTTCCTTAGTTATAAAATAATCATTCTGAATTAATATGTAGGTACCACAGAAAGCAAATTGTTACTCTCTTCTCTTTCTCATCACTCTGTCAGTTTAGTCTAATTTCTAGAGAACAACATTCATACTTTGGTTTGTGTGTTTTTATGGATCCATTTTTTTTATAACATCAGTTACTATTTGTAATGATTTTGTGTGTGTGTGTGTGTGTGTGTGTGTCTAAATCTACACATGTATTTTTTGTTATTTGCAAAGGGCTTTTTAGGTAAATATTATCTTCATTTCAACATGAAAAACTGAATTTTATGAACTCATGAAACTTTTTAATAGTTTTACAATTATGTGTATAGCAGAAAATCAAGATGCAAAGCTAGGCACTTGACTTCCAATACCATGGTTGTCTTCTCCTGCCTTCCCCTTTACCTCTTTTGTGTGGTCATCAATTTGAGGCTTGGAATATGGAGACATTCAGCCAGGGAGAACGCAAAAGAGGAACATATCAGGTGTTTAGTGTATATCAGTCACTATCTAACTGATGTCAGTAGGAGTTTTCTTTGCATGTGTATGTTCATGTGTGAAGGCAAATATATGCCTGCCACAGAACATAAGTGGAGGGAGAGACATAAGTGTCCCTCAGGGGACACTGCTCACCCTCTGCTTTTCTGTGTATCCCAACCTTCTGGAGGTTCTTCCTTTACACCTCATATCCTGCCATAAGAGAGCTGGAATCACAGACCTTACGTAGCAGTTTTTGAAGTCTGAGGATCCAACTTCAGGTCTCCGTGCTTTTGCATTAAGCACTTTACCCACTAAGCTATCTTCCTAGACCTCTGAGATTTTTATGTAAAATTTAAATTTGGGGTTGAGAGATGGTCAGGTAGTTGTCTGCTAAATTCTCTGTCTCATTTGTTTAAAATTGGGCATTTAAAAACATTCCTGACTTGCTAACTGGCCATATGTTTTTTTTTGTTTGTTTGTTTTTTTGAGAACGTGGTCGTTCACAAAGCATGAAGTAAGAAGAATTCCAACACTGGCCATCATTATGAATGATAAAGGGAGAATCATCTAAGGATTGGAAAGTGGTGTAAAATTAGGAAGAAAGTTACCCAGTTATGTTATTATTAGTAGGAGAGGAGGAAAGAAAACCAAGACCTAGTTATACGTTTTAGACAGAAGCATTTTAAAAGACGATACATACTTTGCATAGATAGAGATTATTTAAGAAATATAGTTTAAGAGCAGATGAATGACTTCAAAATAATTCATATAGTACAGTCTCAAAAAGAGAGAGAAGGTAACCCCCAAACCACACTGGTTAACGGAATGCACTGGAGAGACTGAGGCGAGGGAAAGTGGTCTAGATGGGTTGGGAGCATCTCTGTGCTCAGTGTGAAGCTGGCTATGAACTCATGAGCACTGAAGACAGAGTGAAATAGGGAAAGAAAGTGTATTTCACTATTGTTTTTATTTTGCTTTAACTTGTCTTTCATGAGAAGATGAGGTTGGTAGAAACAGAGCTAATGGCTGGAGAAGTTGACTCTGTAAACAGAAAATAATAGCTGGTCATTGTGATGCAGGTCTGTAATCTTAGAACCTGGGTGGGCTAAGGCAGGAGAATGGGGGACTTGAGGTCTACATGGGCGTCATAGAGAGATCCTGTCTCTAAAATAGATGGAAATATTATTTTCCCTTTCTTCTCAGTAAGAGTGTATTCTAACACGAAAATGGTGATACAAATGAAAATAATATGAAAAAAATTATCTTATACCAAATCTCTCCAGAAAGAAATGCTCATAAAAGCATATTCAGTTTATTGCTCTCAGTGAATTCTGGAAGATGAAGATTAAATTATGAAGCCATTTTAATAAATGAATAGTGGGAAGACTAAAGATCAAAGAAGAAGGAGAAGAGCAAATTCAGGAAACATAAAAGAAGAATGAACGTACATTAACAGGCATGGTTTTGGTAATTTTCTAGTTCCCCGTTTTCTAACCAATATGGTGCAAACACTTAGGCATGAATGAAGCAGTTACTAGGAATCAGGATGAGGTCAGTATGAGCACGTTTTATGTTCAACATCAGCTGAACCATTTAGAGAAGAACTATAGTCTAGAGAACTGTGGAGGATCATGACTCCAACCAGACATTAATGATGTCACCTGGGGTCTTATGAAAAAGGAACAGAGTTGGATAACAAACTAAATATGTGCAGAGCAAAAATTTAAAATATATTCAAAGTAGATTTTTCAGGGGTTGGGGGGTACAGGGTATCTCTGTGCATATCAAACTGGCCTCCAACTTGCTGTCACCAGGCTATGCTTGAGTTAATGATCCTTCAGCCTCAGCCTGAAGAGGACTGGATTGTTAGAATACAGCACCATGCCTAGTTGGGAGTAGCTTCGAAGAAACTGAAGATATAGCAGCCAAGTAAGAATAAATTTTTCATCAACACTCTTGGAAAACTAAAAGCAAGCTGCAGGATTATAGGACTTCTAGTGCTTTAAGGCCTAATAATGGTGATCTAAACTTCTATCTTATGTGAGGAGGCTGACATTCACAGGGGGAGGTGACTTTCTAAAATGTACAGTGCCACAGAAGGAAAAGCTAAGATGGAGTCCACCACTGAGGAGGATAAGGGTCCCGTTCTGCAAGCAAGGTGATATTACATCAGCTGAGATGTAAGTTTCTGGGTTTAAGTTTAAATGACACAAGTCAGGCTTCTCTATGAAAACTGGGAAAAAAAGTACAAAATGAAAGTCGAAGGTTGCCAGTCACACGGCTAAAGTGTCAAAGACTGAATAGTGAGTGCTTCCTTCTCTTGAGATTCAGTTCAGAGTTCTTCAAAACAGGACAGAGAGGAGCCAATCTAGTCCCTTCCTGTTTTCAAACATTCAGTTTTAGAAATCTCTCAGAATCAGTAACACGTTT